GCGGGCCGCCCGCAGCTCCAAACGCTGATGTCTCTTGCGGGGACCAGTCACTGGGGCAAACCCAGACTCAGGGCTGGATTAAGGGGGGGGGCTAGCCGGGCAGCTGCCCGGGGCACCTGATTGAAGAGGTAAGGGGTGCTGCGTGCAGCATATGCGCAGCCCTGCCCCCGGGCATGCAGCGCCCCTTACCACTTCAATCAGGCACCCCCCCATAGGCTGGCGCCCGGGGGCGGGACCACGGCACCCCTTACGATGTCAATCAGGCACTGCGCGCCCGGGGGCGGGGCTACACATGCGCCACACGCCCGCTGCCCAGGGCGCAAGTATGGCTCAGTCCGGCATTGCCTGCAGTCCCTGAGAGAGTCAGAGCAGGAAGTCTCCACATGCTGTCCTTGCCTGCAAACAGCACTACTGCAGCTCCCATTGATCAATAACAGGGAACAGTGCCAATAGAAGCTGTGGGCTCAGTGCCTGTAGATACTCCAATAAATCTGTTAGTCTATAAGGTGCCACAAGACTCATCACTTTTGTAGATAAGGAGTGGCACATGGCATGATGGAGCCATTGCTTTTCAGGAGTGGTGCAGGACCAGGGCAGGAGGAGGCCTGCTTTAATCTCACTGCTCCACCATCCAGAAGCCATCTCAGTTAAACAGTGCCCAGCCAGACCCTGCTTCCTGAACCCCCGTCCCAATCCTGAACCCCCTCCTGTACCCATCCTCCTGCCCCAGACGTGTGTTCCCCTGCACCCAAACTCCTTCCCAGAGCTTGCACCCTGAACCCGCTCTTGGACCCAACCCTAGGCTGAGCCCAGAGAACCTCCCACACTGTGAACCTTTTGGCCCAAAACCAGAGCCTGCACCACAAACCCTATGCTGGGGGGAAGCAGCCTCCACCCACGGCAGGCCCAGGCTCACTGCAGACAGAGGCTGCTTCGTGGCAGCAGTCCCTGTCTGCGGGGGAGTCTGAGCTCCTTGTAGATCACCCTACCTTGCTGACTTTATCAGAGGCCCTGGCTCGCCACAGGTAGAGGTTGCTTCATGGCAGCAGTCTCTGCCCATGTGGGGTCCGAGCTCCCCACAAAGAGCCTTTGTCCCCGCCCAGCCTCCCCAGCAGCCTCTGTCCATTGGGAGCTTGGACCCCCACAGACAAGGGCTGTTGCCACCCTGTGCTGCTGCCTCTGTGTGTAGAACTGGTTTTTAAACTGGCTCTCCTCGTGGACCGGCTACTGCCTGGCACCCCATGCAGGACGGCAGGGGGACTCCTCAGGAGTGGGGCTGGGAGCACACTGGCTGCCAGCCCCACCCTTGGAGATTATAGAATAATCGAGTAACTGATAAGAATTCATGCGGCTACTCGACTATTCAATTGCCCCATATCTAACATCTCTACTGTAGGCAGCCTGCTGCCCTGCCAGCCCCACAGGGCTCCCTTCTGCTGGCCCTCAACTGGGACTTTCTGGTCCTGCAGTATCTGTGCCAGACCATGGATGTTGCTGGACCAGAGTTTCAGTTCAGAGAGTTTTAACCTAATAATATATATATATATAATGAAATATATTGTACTTTGTGATAAAGTTGTAGAAGTTGTCAGTACTTCCTAACCATTCAGGTCTTACCTCCTGATGCATAGGTTCTGCTGCATAGGTTCTGCTGTGATGGGCACTTCTTGTCTCCTCTTCCTTTGAACCTCTGCTTGCTCAAGCCTCATATTTCTTCCACTCTCTATTTTCATTTGCCCAATGGCCTCTCACTTGTATGCCATTAGATTTGCCCATCTTAGTCTGATGGTGCCTTTTGTCTCATGCCACCTTCACTTGACACTCTCACCCAAATATAACACTTTCCCTCTCCATTTGCCTTTTGCTCCAAGCCCTCCAGCTTCCTGCCTCACACTTCCAAATGACCTTTCAGGATGGTCTCTGTCCCTGTCTCAGGATGGTGTGATTAAAATCACCATTTGTTAAATCATGATTTAAATCAGCAAATAGGACATCTTGATTAAAATAATCTATGTTATTCTTGTTTTGCAAGTATATTTGCTATTTTCATAAACAGAAGTTAATTCTACTTGGTTGGTATGCTTTGATACTTGTTTATAACAAATATAAGGAGACATTTATTTGAACAATTGTATAGCTTACCATTGTTCTGATTCTTAATATTTTACGTTTTTGTTAGAATATGATGAATGATATTTCTTATTTATGAGATGATTAATTTTGTGTCAAGCTGCATTTTGATGAACATAGGAATTCAATTCAAATTCATTAAAATTGTACTTTTACAACTTGTTACTTAAAACTAAATTAAATCATGCTAACTACAGAAGAAAAATATCAAAACATGTTTTGCCTTTAAATTGATGGATATATTAAACAAAATAAGTATTATCTATTGCTAGAGACTTGAACTGACTTTAGAACTAGTAAATCTCCCTCTCACTCCTAGGTTTTATTCATAGACTGCTTTTTCAATCCTAATTGGTTCCTTAACTTCTAAAAAACTAAAATGAAGAAAATATTCTCCCAGCATCTCTAGAAGAGTCTCTTGCTTTTAAAAGCCAGCTAGGCAGAGCATCAGACTGCCTTTGGGTGCTTCATTTAAAACGTGGCTTCAAAAGGTGTAATAGTTTTTGTACCTCATGTTAAGGATATTAATGCTCATAGGAAGTTGAGCCCTGAACTCATGCTGCTATGACTGTATTTGATTTTAAATAAAGTTTACCTTTAAAAAGTATTTGGTTTAAATAAATGCTGTTTTAAATCGAAAAACTATAGCCCTAACTCTGTCTGCTCAAGATCCCCCTCGCCCCCGTTACTTGGAGAACTTGCTGTCCCTGGTAACCTGAGAGAACCCTTTGCCGCCCCACCCTCGCACCCCGGGCCCCAACGGCTACCGCAAACCCCAGCCTCACAACCCCTCAGTCCCCTCCAGTCTGCGCATGCGTATCATAGCTCCTCACGGGTGGAGGATGGGCACACTCCCGAAGCGGAGGTCTTATGAGCTGCCCACCGCGCTCTTGTGAAGCGTTGAAGCAAAAAGGAAACTACAACTGCCGGCAAGCAACGCGAAGCGGCCCTAGTTGGTAGGCGGTGCGGTGGCGAGCTGGTGACTCAGTGAGGAGTTGGAGCCTGGGGGACAGAGGTGAGCGAGTGGGTCTTGGAGGGGCGCTGTGTGCGCTGCCGGCCCGGGACCCGACACGGGAAGGGGAGGTCGTGAAGGAGTAAAATGGGGAAGGGGCGAGACCTGAGGGGAGGAGGATAGACCCCGATCCGCCAGGCTGTTGCCTCCCCCTTGGCAGCGAGCTGGTGACTCAGTGAGGAGTTGGAGCCTGGGGGACAGAGGTGAGCGAGTGGGTCTTGGAGGGGCGCTGTGTGCGCTGCCGGCCCGGGACCCGACACGGGAAGGGGAGGTCGTGAAGGAGTAAAATGGGGAAGGGGCGAGACCTGAGGGGAGGAGGATAGACCCCGATCCGCCAGGCTGTTGCCTCCCCCTTGGCAGAAGTTAGACTCCCCCGCCCGCGCTGAGCGATGGCGGGGAGCGGTTCCGTTACACTCTGGACTTTGCGGGGCGTGGGGATTTGTTTTGTTGGACTCCGATTTTACCGCTTGCCTTTCAAACGGTCCTAACTGGCCCGGGTGCTGGCCAGCCCCGGCGGCTCCACCCTCCAGGGAGGCTGCTGCTAAGGTGGTTAACATGCAACGCTGCGTCCCGAGTAGCACGCAACTGTTGCTTGCCTGGGGGCGGGGTGCAGCGAAAGTGCTGCTGGCCCTGAAGAAGCGCGTTCCCAACTTTCCAGCAGCTGCCTGACCCCACTTGCTCTTGTATCTGCGCCCTGTGCATGAATTCACTACCCCTTCTGAAATGGGGAAACGGGATTCTCTCTACTTTGCAGAGGCACCGAGCGGTTAGTGCTGTGAATGATGCTTCTTTCTTTGGGGACATGATTTATAAACCGAAGTGGCAGCACATTACTGATAATAACACTTTGGCAAATGTTTTACATCCCCTAACCCTCCTTATACCTCTGAGTATGTATGATTCCATTTTTACAGACGGCAAAGGGAGGGAAGTTAGGTTACTTGTCCAAGGTAACATAAGGAGTTGGTAATAGTGGCACGATTTAGACTCCCAGTTAATTACAAAAAATTATGAATATATTTATTCCTGAAAGGATACTCTCCTTTGGGTATTAGTCCATCTAAAGATATTTCTGATATAATTGGTTCTCTTTCTTCCTCTTCTAGTTTACCTGAACTCTTTCCTGATATGAATACTGGAGTGAGTCGATTTGTGATTTGTGAGCTGTGTGCCCACAAAACGGATGCTATTCTTTTCATAGGGTTAGATAACTGATTGCTTTTTAAATTCATCCTCATGACTGCTTCATTCATAGTTTTTGGTTTACAAGATAATTTTAAACTTTCTTCTATAACACTGAAGCTTGAATACTTTTGAGTCTTCTCTCAGGCTATATCTAAACTGGAAATATTTGACAATGAAAACTCTGTCAACACTCATAGGTAGCTAAAAAGAAAGTTTACAAATCATGTTTACACTGCCACCCTCTGCCACATTGTTAGCTCCCCTCCCTGTCCACAGAAAGAACAAAGCAATATGAGTATGCATCACACTGTGCCTAGTGTCCCTTTCAGTCACTAAGCACTGTGGAATAACGTAATATAACACGAGGCATTTGAGGAACATGAAAAACTTCCTGTCAGCCACCTCATAGACTCATAGAACCATAGAGCTGGAAGAGACCTCAGAAGGACATCAAGTCCAGCCCCCTGCCCAAGACAGGGCCAATCCCAATTAAATCGACCCAGCCAGGGCTTTGTCAAGCCAAGACTTAAACACCTCTAGGGATGGAGACTCCACTACTTCCCTAGGTAACCCATTCCAGAGCTTCACCACTCTCCTTTTGGAACCTCCCATAAGGAAATTGAAGACTGCTATCAAATCCCCCCTCACTCTTCGCTTTTGCAGACTAAATATACCCAACTCCCTCAGCCTCTCCTCATAGGTCATATGCTCCAGCCCCCTAATCATTTTGGTCGCCCTCCGCTGGACCCTATCCAATGTATCCACATCCTTCCTGTAATTGGGGGCCCAGAACTGGACACAACACTCCAGATGTGGCCTCACCAGAGCCAAATAAAGAGGAATAATCACTTCTCTGGATCTACTGGCAATGCTCCTCTTAATATGTCATTAGCCTTCTTGGCTACAAGGGCACACTGTTGACTCATATCCAGCTTCTCATCCACTGTAATCCCCAGGTCCTTTTCTGTAGAACTGCTACTTAGCAAGTTGGTCCCCAGCCTTTAACAATGCTTGGGATTCTTCCATCCCAAGTGCAGGACTCTGCACTTGTCCTTGTTGAACCTCATCAGATTTCTTTTGGCCCAATCCTCCAATTTGCCTAAGTCACTCTGGACTCTATCCCTGCCCTCTAGCATATCTACCTCTCCCCCTAGCTAAGTGTCATCCGCAAACTTGCTGAGGGTGCAATCCATCCCCTCATCCAAGTAATTAATAAAGATGTTGAAGAAAACCGGTCCCAGAACTGACCCTTGAGGCACTCTGCTAGAAACCAACTGCCATCCTGACATTGAGCCGTTGATCACTACCCCTTGGACTCGACCGTCCAGCCAGTTTTCTATCCATTTTACCATCCATTTATCCAATCCACATTCCCTTAACTTGCTGGAAAGAATATTGTGGGAGACCATATCAAAAGCCTTGCTAAAGTCAAGGTATATCACATCCATTGACTTTCCCATATCCACAGAGCCAGTTAGCTCATCATAGAAGCTAATCAGATTGGTCAGGCACGACTTGCCCTTCATGAATCCATGCTGACTATTCCTAATCACTTTCCCCTCTTTCAAGTGCTTCAAAATGGATTCCTTGAGGATCCCCTCCATGATTTTTCCAGGGACTGAGGTAAGACGGACCGGCCTATAGTTCCCTGGATCATACTTCTTCCCTTTCTTAAAGATGGGCACTACATTTGCCTTTTTCCAATCATCTGGGATCTCTCCCGTTCTCCACGACTTTTCAAAGATAATGGCCAAAAGCTCTTCAATGACATTTGCCAACTCCCTCAGTACTCTGGGATGTATTAAGTCCAGACCTCTTAGCTTCCCAGCCCTTCCAGGGTTCCCAGCTTACTTTTGTGCCTCTTGAATGACTGTTGTGTGTGAGAAATCATGGATTCCAGATTTCACTCCCATGTTGTATTCATTGTGCTTAGGACATCACACTTTGCATCAGAGCTACTTATGCACTTAATAGCAGAGGGCAAATACTTGGATGCAGATGACTGTGAGTGCCAGGGGCAGGAGTGAGGGAGCATTGTATTGGGCTGTCACAGAGCAGCTGTGCATAGTAGAGAGTTGCTTTTGGGGTAGGAAAACCAGGGCGGAATAGTGGGATTGTATTGTCATGCAGGTGTGGGATGAATATCAGTGGCTACAGAACTTTCAGGTGTATAAAGCAACCTTCTTGGAGCTGTGTGCTGAGCTGGCCCCTGAACTGCAAGGACACCCAAATGAGAGCTGCTTGCTTGGTAGCGAAGCATGGTGCAATGGCTTTGTTGAAGCTAATGACTCCTGATTGTTACTGTTCAGTTGCAAATGAGCTTGAAGTGGGGAAGTCTACCATTGGAACAACACTTATGCAAGTGTGCAGGGCAATAAATCACATTTTGCTGCGCAGGACTGCGACTGGGAAATGTGGATGACATACTGGATGGCTTTGTTGAAAGGGGCTTTCCAAATTGTGGCGGTGCAATTGATGGCACACACGTCCCCATTAGAGTGCCACCCCACCTTTCCTCAGAGTATATCAATCATAACTAATACTTCTCCTTGGTGCTTCAGGCGCATGTAGATCACTGTGGGCATTTCACAGACATAAATGTGGGGTGGTGTGGAATAAGGATGTTAAGTATCGACTAATTGAATAACGAATAGTCGAAGCATTTTGCATCAGGTATTCGATTAGTCAATAGAGCACCTCCACCTTTGAAGTGTAGCAACAGCACTAGGAGATGGAGCCTGGGGTCAGTGGGGGGGAGTCCCCAGCTGAGCCTGGGCTCCACACAGCACTGTGTCTTTGAAATGCTGCGAGGAGCCAAGTGTCAGACTCCCAGCGGTGTTTCAAAGTGGCAGCACTGCATAGAGCCCAGAATCAGCGGGGGAGTCCCTAGCTAATCCAGGGCTCCACGTGACGCTGCCGCTTTGAAACACCGCATGCAACTTGGCCGTGGGCTGCAGGCGTCATTTCAAAGTAGCAGCGCCACTTGGAGCCTGGAGTCTGGACCCAGGCTTCAAGCGGCGCTGCCCCTTTGAAGTACCCCCTTCTCTGGGACTCTTGTACATTTCAAAGTTGGAACACTGTGTGGAGTCCAGGGCCAGCGGGGAGTTTAAATGTTTTAAATGTTTAAAATCAGAAGCAGGAAGCCAGCTAAACAACCAGTGGGGTCCTTGAACGACCGCGATTGTAAAGGAACACTCAAAGATGATAAAGTCATGGCGGAGAAGCTAAATGAATTCTTTGCTTCAGTCTTCAGAGCTGAGGATATTGGAGTGATTCCCAAACCTGAGCCATTCTTTTTAGGTGACAAATCTGAGGAATTGTCCCAGATTGAGGTATCATTGGAGGAAGTTTTGGAAGAAATTGATAAACTTAACAGTAACAAGTCACCGGGACCAGATGGCATTCACCCAAGAGTTCTGAAATAACTCAAATGGGAAATTGCGGAACTATTAATTGTGGTTTGTGTCGCAACTTGGTTCGGTGATGTGATGGGAGTCCCCAGGGGTTAAAGCCGACTACCCAGTGAAAACTACTGGATGATGGTGAAACAAATGATTTTTTATTAAACAGAATGGTTCTTTTATCAAAAATCAAGTGACTTTTAAATGAATTTTAAAACAAGCAATTGCCTAATGCTTTTACAGGAGGGGAAAACTGAACCAAACTGCACTTAACTGATTACAGACTTTATGATTATAATTCGATTATATTAAATCACCATCTCTAATTCGCTTAAAGCAGTGCAGCATGGAAGCAAAAAATACAA